TTTTTTAAAAAAATTAAAGATTAAAATTAAATAAATGAATTAATTTTTTGGATTTTTATCCTTAATATTCTTAATAATCTTGAAAATAAATAAATTTATTCTTTCAAAAAAAATCTTTTTTCTATCTTAAATATAAATAACTTTTTTCGATTGTAAATAAATCTTTATAAAAAAATACGTATTAAAGAGTAAAGTTTTTATTTAATAATGTATTTAGATTTCGATATCAAAAGTAATAAATTAATTGAACTATTAAAAATCGAAAAGAATATTCAAAAATAAATACTTTTTGAAAAAAAAAAATAGATTTAATCGCTTTTATTTCAATCATTTTAATTTTAATTTTTTAGAAATTTTTATATATTATAATTATCATATTCATTAATTATATATATCAATTATAGCTTATTCTATTCAAAAATGTTAAAGTTATAAATCTTTTCAATTTATACTATACATCTTTAGTTAATTCGCCGAGTACTATACATTCAATACCACTAATAGAGTTTAGACTACCTATCGCGTTAATGAAGTCGAAACTACTCGCCGACTTGATCCTGCCGATGAGATTACTCAAAAAATACCAACAGAGCTACCACTTCTAACAGTACGCACAAACCAGAACCAGAAAGAAGATCTTCACTCTCGGAATAATCGATGAGGAAGTAATCCAGTAACGATGAGAATACTCGACTGGTCAATGTTTGATTCGAGATAAGAAGTATCTAACAGCTATCTCATTCTTTAGTTGAAGGTTTGAATAGCTTCTTTATATAACATATGATATAGGGTTGGCCTAGGAGATTATAGATGGAGGGTTAAGAAAACAGATAAAATTGATCCATACGAGAGTTACTTTGTTTGTACTTCTATCACACTCTTCTCCGTCATGATGTGAGATCTTTCTTTTTGTTATATTGGGATATAACATCAGCGCCCACGACGTCTGAGCATCAGTTTCAAAGACAACCTTCAGATCCTGATCGAATTCTCACAAGGAGATATCGGTATGTGTAGCAACCTTCGAGGTATGAAAAGTGGATTGGCATTGAATTGGTTCACTTAAAACAAGCACTTAACAGCCGTTGAATTCTCACTCTCAACTACCTACTCGCTGTCAGTCCGCCTGCCTACTAGCTAGGTAACCAGTCCAGTGAACACGCTAAAATTTCACCATTCAATCACCTCCCCATCCACATTCACCTTCACACCCTAATCAATGGTGCTTTGCTCTTTGCATCTCGAAACCTCGAAAATATCACACGAGAAAGAAGATTGAGTAGCGAGGCCCATGTTATACCCCGCCCAATCAAATTATTTGCACTTCAATCAAACTCCTAAGCCCTGCGTCAATATCCAGAAAATAGTATCCATAACCAGACCATATGAACACCGGTGAAAATATGCGTGAAATGCGTATGCCTTTATAAAATATCCATCCATTCATCCATTATCTAGGACCAACCAAACTGGCCGCGAACGATTCAGGTGCACTTTAGATTTCCTCCATTGTACCCGCTGCTTCTTCATTATCATCATCGTCGTCAAAACTGGCTACCGAGGACATGGTACCGTCATCTGATTCGTCGGCGCCCGCATCGTCTGCTGCGTCTCCGCTTGCGTATTTCGTTACATATTCTACATTTCATCAGTTCCCATCCTATCCCCTTATAAAATCCTTCCTTGTAATCCCCAGAAATACACACCTTTAACCTTCGCATCATACGCTTTCGAATCCCTCATGAGTAATGCGGCGGCCTCTCCATTCAGTGGATCCGTCGGGTTCGGATATCGAAGTAATTGTGGGAGAAAGACTTCGAAGATATTGATCATATCGAACATTGGCGACCAAGTTTGATTAATCACATCGAGACATACGGAACCGGATCTATGAAGACAGTCTCAGTAAGTAATCTGTTCCACCGTGTAGGTGGTAGGTAAAGGGCCTACAACTCATCGATATTGGGGTGAAAGATGCGGTTTTCGAAACCGATGCTGGGGGATTTGTAGGGATATTGATCTGGGAGTTCGACGTGGATTTTCCAGAGTCCGCCTTCGAATGGTGCTGTGAGAGTAGCCATTAGTTTATGTGTTTGAGAGGAGGGAGTGTCGGAGGAGAGGGGAGGGATAGGGAAGGGAAGGGAAGTAAACTCACTCTCTGCTGGTCCCTTGAAGCGGACATAGAACTCTTGCCTGTTATGGTCATTACATGAGCGGTTGATTCCAAAGTTCTTCTCAACATAATACATACACTAGATAAAAGGTTAGAATTTCTGCAGACTGTATGGGTATATTTCCAACTCACTATTGTCATTTACAAGAGTCACCTCATAATCCGACATCAACCTATACTCCTGGTAAGCACTGAAGCATAAATCCATCGGACTAGCTGTGAAAAGGTGTCGCATACATCCTAGAATGACACTGTTAGCTAGAGATCCTCAAAAAGACACGTTCTCAAATCATAAATACTGACTTCATGACCTATACATCCAAAAGCAGACGTTAGTCTTTTAACTGATCCAAATAATGACTATAGGATGTCACTTACATCAGTCTCAATCCTCCGTCTAGGACTCGACATTTTGACGTTTGAGTTTATGAGTTTGAATTCTGGATTAAGCAAGTGTTCGATTCAAGAATTTGGCAAAAATTGTAGATTTAGAAAAATGGCGAAATGGCGAAATGGCGAAATGGTGAAATGGTGAAATGGTGAAATAATGAGTTTATATGAGGAGAGAACTGATCTTGGAGTTTGTTGTAGTAGCAGCTAGACAGTGGACCGTATAGTCCTTATCTGAGCGATAAAGCGGTAACAATCGGTAGTTGCCGATTCATGCGCCCGCGTTGGTCTCGTGAGATGGTTTGAAAATGGTAATAAGGGTGGGTGGCTATGTAATCTGTGTAATGATAATACCGGTAACTTAACCTTAACCTGGATTTGGTCTTTGTCCGGATATGGATCGTGGATCAAGAAATGTAAAGGCGAGGAGGGGTAAACACATTATCATCATACTGTAACATATACTCCGTACTTTTCACTTTTATAGAAATCACAGCCTCACCCACATCTCAACCGGTATGGTTCACAAGAAGGCCTCAATTGTGATTGAACGATGGAAGATAATTCTCAGGTACACCACAAGTAGTACATTGCATGATCTGAATGCTGCGACCATTTTGAACGGTAACGGTATAACGGTATAACGGTATTACACTGGAAAGGAGGGGAAAGAAAGCGCTTTTTGTATCAAGGATGTCCTTCCACAGAAGTCAATCGATTTATCCTCATGGTGGTACTATGTTCGAGCCATACCTAAATAACTATATATGAATAATAACTCAGGTCCCAGAAGAATCAAGAATCAATAGTAAGTATCTCATATCTCATATCTCATCTAATGCCATCCATCATCACCCTTTTCTTCCACCCAAAACTACCGCCTCGGTTCCCCTTACATAATACATAATCTAGACCCATCCCTCGGCTCAAAGAATCCCCCCCCCCCAAGCGACAAAATGAACCGCAAATAATGAAAATAATGTATGTCTCTTTACGCTCCAGTATGGAAACCACAGCGCAATAATCATCACGACCTCATCAAAAAGTTTGTTATAGGCCTCCGCAATTCTAATAATGGCTCTCCATCATCCATCTTCAAAGTTTTCTAATCATCAATTTCGATCCGTGTGCATTTCTTTCCATCAATTTCATCCATGTCTTCATCATTTCCCATCATGAAGTTGAGCACGCGCACACTATTGAAGCAATATTCACGACCAGCATCTTTTGCTGTGAGACCATTTCTTGCACAATGTCAAATCAGAAAAAGTTCGCATAGTCCTATGGGCTCACAGAGTGCGAGGAAGAAGGTCACTATGACGACATTGAGGTCTATGTATAAGAAAGGGGAACCCATTGCTGTGATGACGGCTCATGATTTCCCCAGTGGTCATGTCGCGGATGTCGCGGGTATGGATATAGTTTTAGTGGGAGATAGTTTGGCCATGGTAGCCTTGGGAATGGAGGATACTAGTGAAGTTATCATGGAAGAGATGTTGATGCATTGTCGTTCTGTATCGCGTGCTGCACAAGCTGCTTTCACTGTATGTACATTCCCGTATTCCCTCAATTCATGCACCTCCTTTACTAACAAACTAAATCATCAGGTTGGAGATCTTCCCATGGGATCATATGAAATATCTCCCGAGCAAGCTCTCGAATCCGCTTTTCGATTTGTGAAGGAAGGTCGAATGCAAGGCATTAAATTAGAAGGAGGTGTAGAAATGGCTCCTACCATCAAAAAACTCACGACCGCAGGCATTCCGGTCCTAGGCCATATCGGCCTCACACCTCAACGCCAAAATTCCCTCGGTGGCTTCCGCGTGCAGGGTAAAACTTGTGCCGGTGCACTGAAAGTTCTCGAAGATGCGCTCACCGTCCAAGAAGCCGGTGCTTTCGCAATGGTCGTTGAAGCTGTTCCTCAAGAAGTCGCAACACTCATAACTGAGAGGTTATCTATCCCTACAATAGGCATTGGCGCAGGAAATGGTTGCTCGGGACAAGTTCTGGTGCAAGTTGACATGACTGGCAATTTCCCACCCGGTCGATTCCTCCCAAAATTTGTAAAGAAATATGGTGATGTCTGGAGCGAAAGCTTAAAAGCCATGACGGAATACCGCGAAGAAACGAAGTCTCGAGCCTACCCAGCCCCAGAGCATACATATCCGATTCCAGAGAAGGAGCTCGAGGACTTTCGAAGTGCGATTAGCAAAATGGATTGAGGTGTTGTGGATAAATTATCGATGTTGTTAGATTGCAGGCGTGTTTGTCCAGCTTTTAGGTTCCCAATATTTGCTTAGCTTTTAGATGCCCCATAGAAATATGATTTTTCTGTATACCAACCCAAATCTAGTTTAAAAAAGCAGTTGATACCCCATGCTAATTGTTTCGTTTGAATGTTTGAATGACTGACTACCGTGTATCGTATGCCGTTCGATCATCCAAATGCCGGCGTCATCGAATAGGTAACAATAAGCTGGTCCTTCGAATCTTTAAAGCACTATTCCAAGAATTAGCATTAATCCATCCCTAACCCTCATCCTACACCCTCGCATAAGCAAGTCCCAAAATCACTCACCCTATGCAAGTTCCCCACCACCTCATCCAACGCCGGCGCAAAACAACTATTCACATACAAAAACACACTTTCCCTCTCTCCCCCTCCCCCCGCATTCCGATCCAACTTCAACACCCTCCTCAGATACGCCACGACCGTCTCAAACCTCTGCGTCGAACTAATCTTCGACACGGGTCTCTGCAACGCGGGCGCCGACCCAATCGGCTGAAACCGCACTGTGATTTTCGGGGTGGGAAACACAAATGCAGATTCGAGCGCGGTGCTGGAGTCGCGCGGGAGATTGGTGAGTAGGAGGGAGGAGGTCATGGTTAGGGGGAGAGTGGGGGAGGAGGGTGGGAGATCCGGGATGCCTGAGTGGGTGCGTGGGTGGGTAGGGAGGGAGGTGGTGGGGGTTGTGGGGGTGGGAGTGCGGGAGGGGAGGGGAGAGGTGTCGGGGTTGGGGTTGGGAGAGCTCATTGTTTGGTGGTGTGGGTTGGGTTTGTGTGTGTAAGAGTTCGGTGTGTTTTGTTTCGTGGCTGGAAATCCGATTTTAGATGGCTTCAGAAAGTTTTGGTTTTATTCCGATGTAACGAAGTAATGTTATGCAATGTGAGGTTGAGTTTGGGGGACGAGATTGTACGATGATGGAAATGAATGAGACGAGGCTGAGGCCGATGATATGATGCGGACTTTGATGCGGAGTTGCGGCCGACTGAGTGGAGAGTGGGGCAAGGTTTTGAGGTGAACCCTTATTTCAAGTTTCGGCAGATCATTTTTAAGCTCACCGGGAACTCACTAGAAGTTTACTGGGGACACTCGATCTACCAGGAATAATAATCTTTCCCTCGTGCTACTAATGGGTTTTTTGAATTAAAATGGGCTCAGTGGAAAGAAAGGCATGCCAAAGCTCCATGTGTAAAGTACTCAGCATCTATTCGGACGTTATCAATCTCGATTGATTTGTGGGTATATACATTTACTTTTTTGTTCGGAGTGGTATACATCATTATCATACAATTCATTTACCCCCTTTTATCTAATCGCGTAGAGCTTCGATATCTACAACCTCCTTCACGGCCTCGGTAGTTAATACTAGAGGTGAATCCTCCTGTATACAAATGCTATCCTCAATTCTGATGCCCATGCCCCTAAAATGAGCTGGCCAGCGCTCATCATTTGGTACATAAATTCCCGGCTCGATCGTAATACAATGTCCTTCCCTGAGAAGGTTACTTCGAGAATATCCTGGAGTATCGTGAACATCAAGTCCAATATAATGACCGACGTGATGAGGAAACAGGGTATCGATAGCACTTCCAGACATATCGAATCCTAACTGTTTCAATTGATCTGTGAGACCATTTCTGGTAACTGCGTGGATTTTGTCCAAAGTCATGTTTGAACTTTCCCTGCATAGCGCAACACTACTTCGCTGTACTTTTAAAAGTGCTTCGTAGAGATCTTTCTGGGCATCTGTAAATTTGCCATTGATGGGCCATGTTCGAGTAATATCCGTAATATATCCACCATATTGTCCACCGGCGTCTACCAGAACAAGCTCGCCATCTCGTAGTATATCGTTGTTGGAAACGTAATGTATGCTCTGGGCATTTCTCCCACCTCCAATGACTGGCACATAAGCACTCTTCTCACAACCTCCGATTTTATAATCAAATTCAAGAAATGCGCCAAGATGTTTTTCTTCAGTCCATCGTTTCCGCATAGCATTTGTAAAAGATCTGCCGGAGACTTTACCTGCTTTTCGCATATTTTCGATTTCGGCATCACTTTTGATGGCCCTTAATTCGTTTATCAACGGCCCAATTGGTTTCGATTTTTTTGCTTTGGCATCGCGAAAGAGTTGCATAAGATCCTTTTGTTTCATTACACCTTGGATGGAGTCCAGAGTACCCCCAAGGAAAGATTCTTTAACATCCATATATATTTCACTAGCTCCTTCAATAAGTGGCCTTAGATATGAAGCTGCCTGGTTGACATCCCCAGACTATGTCAATGTTAGCATTGTTGTTGTTTGTGAAGTATGGTAGGAACAGGTCTCTTACTTCATCAGCATTGAAAACATCCAAGGCTGCTTGTTCCCCAGATCTAGCACCATCCCAAAGTTCTGCCTGCGGGTCTTTAGGTCTAACAAATAGGTGAAATATAAATTCTGAAGACTCCATTCTCTGTATTACTGCAATTGCCTCTGGTTCATTAAATCCCGTAAGATAGAAGAAATTTGATTGCTGGTGAAATTCATGAAATACAGCCCCAGACCTATATTTGATATCTGCCCCTCTCAAGATGGCGATTGAATTTGGAGGAAGTTTTGCAGCGAAATCTGCTCGTCGATCCGCATATTCTTGCGCAGAAATACCTGGAGTAACTGATCACTGTATTTAGTTTTGTTGTAATCATATCGTTGAATTCATCTTCATACCTTCTCCAGCATTAAGTAAGTGCGGATGGGTTTCATGAACCGGTTGACCAAATTGAAGTTCTGAAGCTGATATGGAAGCATATGTTCTTCTTGATTGATATGTTGTGTGACATTTTGTTGCTGCAGACGATACTTGAGCTTGACATCGAGGTCTCGAAGGTATTATTGATGAAGATGATATTCCTCTACTCCTACTGGTCCCTTCCAATTGCTGAAACAGTGATCTTGTTCTTCGACTACACTTCATGATATAGATTGGCGATTACCAGTGGATGGGATTGAGGTTCTCGAGTCTTTCCCTGTGCTATGTGAGTATATTATTTTCTGCGGACTCAACCTTAATATTTCGTTCTGTCATGTTCTGCCATCAAGCACTAATGAACGTTTAAGATTTAAGATTCCTCTTACCAAGGTAGGGAGTTCCAACCTAGCAGTCATAGACTCCAGTACTGTACTGTATAATACGAGTAAGTTAGATGATAAAATATTATCAAGCATAAATTGAAAGGGTTTCATTGGTTTGATTGGTTTGATTGGTTCGAGATTTACCTCTAAATTACTCAAGTATTGACCTAGACAGGCAGTATATGATTTTAGCATCTACGAAGTAATTTGCATCTAATTATTATTAAGTTATTAGTATTTACCAGGTATTTATTATCCATTATTTACCAACCGGGGGAAGGTAATTTAAAATGGTTGCTATGTTGCTGAGTGAATATAATCGATGAATCCACTTCGCGCTGTTTTTAAGCCTTTTGTTGTCTACCATAACATTCAAACCTAGTAGTGCTCCGTAGTCATCATCACACCCCCCCCAAAAAAGGAACCTTACCCTACCCATAACCATAACTTCTACCATACAAAGATTGACACTTCACTTCACACCACCACCACCAACCACCAAAAAATAAAATAACATCCACCATACCACTCCAGCATTATCCCAACCCACATTCATTGAATCGTGTGGTATTCACGACCCTTTTGTGCTCATTCCTTTCAATGGTATTCATTTCCCCAGACTCTCGAAACATATCTACTTAATGTCTACATAAAAAAAGAAGAGCTTCAGGGAAGTGGTTATAAACCGTGTCAAAAGTCGCGTGCGAGAACCACCCCCACTCCAACTCCTTCACAGGAATTTCTCTGTCCTACACAGAGAGTATTGATATATTTGCATATGGCAACAGTATCACTATCTCCATTACCTGTCACATTAACAACCAATATGTCGACCAGGAGGCAGCCTCTCTCCACCATCTCCAATGTCGCTAATTCCCCATATCGAGCGGTAGCTTCCACCACAACTAAACAAAAACGATCATACGCCAATATACAACGCGAAGATGCATATGGACAACCACCCCCGGCGAAAAAGCAGATGCTAGATGCACATCATCAACCCCTAAGAACACCTCCACGCCAAAGTATTGGCCAAGTATCGGGTGAAGGAAGGATTTTTACTCGGAGATCAACTCAGCCATCCAATTTTGAACGAAAGTGTGTGGCAGCTAGAGGTGATAGAGGTGCTCAACAACAGCAGATTACCAAGGCGGATAAGGTACCAGAGGAGAATTTGGAATCGATACGTCAATGGCAAAAGCATTATAGGAAGAGTTTTCCAAAATTTGTCTTCTACTTCGAGAGTATACCAGAGGATGTCCGACTTAAATATACCAAACAGGTTCTCGCCTTAGGTGCAGTAAGTAATGTCTCTGTGTAAGTAATTGGGTATCGCGGATTGTGTTGACGTCTTCTCAGCGCGACGAAAAATTCTTCTCACATGAGGTCACTCATGTCGTCACCACTCGATCAATTCCACCGGAGACCCCATTTACTTCTTCAACTACCGCCAAGTTACATTCGCAACACGGCACCATTAACCCCTCTTTGTTGGACAGATCATCCGAGACTGCAGATTCAAGGGAATCTCGATCGAAGTTTACATTTGAAGCTCCAGGTGGTAGAAGACTTAATACACAAGGACATGATGGAGACACAAGACGACAACAAGTCCGCAGCTCAGATGTACTATACAAGGCACGAGAGTTGGGGATGAAGATATGGGCATTGGAAAAGTTGCAACGCATGATGACAACTATGTTTGACACGGATACTGGTTACCAAACAGCACATAGTCACAACACAAGGAGCCATTCCGTTCAGGGTGGTACGATAAGCAGAGGAGGTCGAGAAGCTGACCTATCCCAATTATTGAGGAACGAACGAATTTATGGACCATCCGATCGGGACCTCAGCGTCGCTACAAAAGAAATGACTATATTTAGAGGGCCGTATATCTACATTCACGATATCGATGAAAAGCAGAAGCCAATTATGGTTCGAGAATATAACAAAGTCGCCCGCAAAGAAGAGGGAGATTGGCCTCAATTCCGTAGTGTTGCAAATGGCAAGTGTCCATTTGTGGAGGAAGTAGAGTACAGCCGCCGTGAGGTGGAGAAAGAAAAGGAATTGATCCGTATTCAAAGGCAAAAGGAAAAAGAGAGGGCTGCAATTCCAAGGACAAGAGCTGCCGCTGCGGTTGAAGCAGCTAAAATGCAACCACCAAAGGCAATCAACAAACGAGCACTATCCCAACTTGATGATGGAGCAAATAGAAGTGTTACTGTCTCGACAAACCAAGCTAATCCATTTGATACTGATAGAAGTAATCGTGCGGAACTTGAGTCTTCTTCTCGAGGGCAAAACGCATTCGTCAGTCGTGCTGGGGTTGGGAGATTGTTTGGAGGTGAGCCTGTTGCATCGGGAGTTCAACCATCAAACATTACTTCTGCTATTCGTTCTCAAATGATTTCTTCAACTGCAGCTCAACCTGGACTCAAAGCTGGAACAAGTAAAGAGATACATGGGTTGCAGAGAAAGGTTCTTGAGAAGACGAATGGTGGAACCGGATCCCATCGTTTGACTGACATCACTGCTGCTGTAAGAGAAGATACAGCCACTCGTCCTGCGAAGCGTGAGGCACAAAAGAAACTTGGTGTAATTGAAGAGGATGATATTCCTACAGAAAAAG